CCGGGGACCAGCGGGGAGAGTAGGGGTCCTCCGCTGCCTACGCCCTCCTTGCGCAGAAGGCTTTCGCGCAGAGAGAGTAGGAGGAGACTAGGCGTCAAAGAGCTTCTTTGCTGGAAGAAGTTTAAGAAACGCCCACTGACGGATTCTGCCAGCGATTGAGACAGCCACGGGTGAGTGGCTGTCCGGACAGGAAAGGTTCACTCAGGCAACCCAGCCAGGTGTTTGCACCGGCTTACGCACGAGCAACCCCTAGAACCACTACAGGGTTCTTGGCACTCAGAAGGAAATGGTAGTTCAGCCATTCCTAAAGAAGTCCTTGGACCCTGAGGTACTTGACAGCTACTATCCGGTCACAAAAAAACCCCTCTGAAGGCAGCCCTGTTCAGGGAAGTTTTTAGTGTTTCGTGCTGTATTGTGGAAAATAGCAGTTAGGGAAACACCAGTCAAATGGAATAAACTGTTGTGTGACTGCAGCCTGATCCATGCAAAGACAAACATGTAATAATAAATCTGCAGTAAAGCTATCCAACTTCTGCAAACAGGTTTATGGAAAGTGCTCCAATTCTTATATATGTTCTCTGCTTGCAAATAAAGAAGTTATTCTCTCTTACCAGGACAGGTCTCTGTTTGCAGTAGAGCACACTGAGGACACTCTTGATAATTGATCATATAGCCTCTCTCTCTAACTGGGATGAATTTGGTAGGGCAAGTGCAAGGCTGATCTCTTCAGAGTTTCTCTTGATGTGCCAGTTCCAAAATTACCATTATCTTCATCTGAGAGAGAAGCACCTTCAACAAAATTATGTTGTTAAATTTCTTGATTGAATCTAGATCAAAACTTTCCAAAATCTCGAATCTTTAGGATTAATTAAAGTAAGCTAGCCAGGTTCAACCAGGGTCAATACATATGTCATTATCTCTGAAAAGATCCTCATTAACGTTGATTTAGCTCACCAGAGGAAACTCAGCAAGCATCCATTGCAGAATGCTATAATACTTGAGGCTTGGAGCTTGAAGCATGAATTAAGGCTATTAGCCTTTATGCCTCACAATGGGCAAAATCCATTTGCCCTGGAGAACAGTACAGATGCATGAAAGATGGTGATTGGATTCCATAGGGTTCTGGTTTTACAACCTTCTCTGCCCATGTGTGTCTATGGGCATATTGGCAGACCACAAAGCCAGATGCTAGGAGAAATGGGAGGTCAGCATGTATCAACGGATTGTGCCAAGAGAAATTAGAACATATTGATCTCTGCGTTCAAGGCAGTGATTGATGCTTTTAAGCTTCCATTGCATCATCAGAAAATCCTGGGGTTCATAGTTTTTTTCTTCCTGGCTGGTTGTTGGTGTGGGGCTTTTGTGGGTGGGTGTATGTGCTTCAGAACTGTTATTTTTACCCCTATACAAATGTACAATGATTTAATCAATGAGGCTACAATCCTAAATCAATTTATCTGAGTAACCTCCATAATGTATCCTACTTATTTCTGACTACACATGTATAGTATTACATTGTTAGCTAACCTACCGAAACAAAATTTTCTTTAATACAACAATACAAAATATATATTTTTCTCTAGAACCCCTTATTACTGTCATTATATTGTGATAGATATATAATAATGACTTTATGGTCTGGAAATTGACTTATTTGTCTTATAATGGATTTTGCGTGTTCTGTTAAATTCAACTGATTCTAATATGTAATCTCATCATTAGGCAACAGTCTAAATTGCTGTATTAATGAAAAGAGGTCACAAAAGCCAACAGACCAAAATCTGTATCTCAGTTAGAATAATACACATTAGAAGTAATTTGGATATTTATCAGTTTTAAGGGGGGGGGATAAAGCTTCTAAAATGAGGACTTTGGGTCCAAGGTAATCCCAAAAAAACATAGATCCAACTCAAGATAGAATATTAAGACATTAAAAAAAAAGAATTGCTCATTCCTAGAATTAAATCTAGACTAGAAAGTATAGCCTTACACATGAAAGTATTAAAAACAGCATTAGCACATAGTTATATGAATTAATGTATGTAACAAAAAGACCTTTGTTTTCAAAAGCGCCAAACATGTCAACAGTATTTTTGTACGCAGAGACATTGAGTACAAATTACATAAACTGAATCTCAAAGTCAAACTTTATGAGATTTTGGAAATCTCAGGTCAGTTCTCCTGTCTCTTTAAGGCTGTAGTCATATTACCCATTGAACCCAACAGGACTTACTATTTAATAGTCAGGTATAGGGCTGTGCTGTGTCAGTGTATGTGTGTGAATTGCATCAGGACCAGTGTGCTGGGAGATTACCAAAGAAGCGCTTAAAAATGAGGTGGGAAGAAAGGATGGAGAAAGGGTTCAATCACCCTTGCACCACACTCTGTTTTTTTTTAAATTTCCCTTTCATCTAATTTGGCCATCAGGTTTGGTCAGCAGCAGCACCCCAAGAGAGTTTTTCCTGTGAGAAAGAAAGGTCTAGTCTGTAACAGAGTAAAAGGATATGGTCTTTTTGCAGTCTATTGGAATTGAAAACATACAAATTCTTTACAATCCATAGTATTGTCCTGTCCTTCATGTGCTCTGGAACGCATATGGAAAAAATCTGGATAGGCAAACTAGAGGAAACTTAAAATACACCTTTGCTGAAGCCATTTTGGTAGTAAATACAAAGTCCTAATAGCTTCCTAAATTAGGCACTGAATCTGAATTTTATTAGATGTTCTGCAGCGCATTTAGACAGCTTGCTTGCATTAAAAGCGGGCTCTATGGATTTTTGAAACTGCATATATTAACACCCAGAGGGATTCAAAAATGGGGATGCAACCTGTTTAAAATGAGCAGGGCACTTAATTCACCATCTGTGGTTCTTGTTGTGCTCTATATTTATCTGTGGCCAAATGTGGATATGTCTAAACCTGTACTGGATGGTGAATCCAGAATGTTGGCATTTCCTAAATGCATTTTTTACACTGTGTATTTTGTCAGAAGCAAAATATTCCCCCTGACAATACATGTGTAATATTTACATCTCTGCAAAAAAAAAAAAAGATGCTTCATGAACTATGATTTTATATTGTTTTTGTTTTAATTTGTATGCAACTTTTAATGTGATCTGAAGACAGAGAATGCAGTTAATCACTGTGCAAATATGTGCCAAATGTGGTTCTAGGGGATTCCAGCTTAAATGAAACAGACTATTTAATGCAATGTCGCAAAATAGAGAAGTAGAAATGTTATAGTATAGAGCTCTCGTTGGTTTCTAATATCAGATTATTTAAAGTCTCGCTACAATGCACTTTCCATGATTTTAACAATTAATAAAATCCCACACCTCAGTGTTCAATGAGGCTTACTCCAGGTAACCACAGTGTCCACATTACTGGTTTCCCTCATCCTTTCGATCTCTGTTTCTGTGTGATGAGCTGTTTCAAATTCATGTTGAGGAGGATGACCACAGAACTTGAGAATGGTAGTTATTATGTAAATTATTTGAGCCAGTAGGCATTTGAGGATTTCCATCACGGCAGTAGTGGGTCTGCACTGGTATAAAGGCAGATTCTGTGCAACAGATAAATGACCCCAGAAGGGAAATGAGAGTGTCGTCTTCACTTACCTTTGCACTCAAAATGCTCATGGTCCCCAAAACCAAGGGGAGTCCATCCTGTTTTCCTCTACCTTGTTTATTCTCTTCTTCCTTTCAGTCCTTCCTTCAAGTATCAGCCACCATCTTCCTCTATCTCTACGGCCATGTACACACTCTCTTTTACACTGCGTCCAGTTCTCTCCCACCGCTGGTCTGAGGAGCACGCAATGTGAGCCACACACCATCCATATCTATCGCGTTCTTAGGAAATTCTGTGTTTTTACACATTTCCTCCTAAAACCAGCTTTGAATCGAATTGAGAAAAAGAATGGCTCTAGCTATGTTTTAAACTGGTAATGTGTATACAGCATATTCAGATATACATTCTCTCTCCCCCCGCTCCCCGCCATTCAAAGCTTGACAAGAACCCTGCTATCACTTCTACGGAAACAGCTCTGTTCTAAAAACTATAAAAAGGCTGGTGGAAAGAGATGCACAAAGTTGGGATCCAAGTGGAAGGCAGGAGAAGGAGCATTAAGATTGCTAGCCATAGGGGCCAACTCCTAGGGGCTGAGGTCCCTTCGGGCCCCCAATAAAATATTTGCACACCCCCCCCCAGTTGATGGGCATTGCCATTCAAATGCTGTGTATGCACCGTGTCTTGTGATCAGTTATATAGGGTGGGGCTTACCTGGGTCCCTTCAGTTAGCACCTTCAAGTTAGCACCCCTGCTGCCAGCCTTCACTCACTGCCAGGGCTCCTATGTTTTTAATAGGTGCAGGAAGTTCAACAGGTAAAGCAGTGGAGCTGAGTTCCTGCAGTTAGAAGATCTAGAAACCTTTCTACCCAAAGGCAGTGGCCCTGCTTAGTGAGGAAAGAGAGGGTGTGTGTGTGGGGGGGAATCCCCCACATCCATTCTCCGCAGCGGGTGGTAGCAACATCAAGTAATAACCTGCGCATCAACTTTCACGTGCTTTTCAATGGAAGGAGCATTTCAACATTTAGAGCGATGAGCACACACAGCGAGGTTTTAAGACGGGGAGCTGCCTTTGTCAGAGCTCACAGCAGGGGTGCCAACTGGGAATATTGACAGAGGTGGGGGGGCAGAGAAGCCCCGCCCTGCGTAATCGAGAAGACGTCGTGCTCGCACACTAGTTGAATGGCCATCTACTGGGGAGGGGGGCCAAAAGACCGCAGCCGCTAGCGGTGGGCTCCCATAATCGTATACACACAAAAAGGTTTAGAAAGAAACAAACACCCAGTGTGACGGCGTCCAACGGAACGAGTTCGTGGCCTGTGTCCGCAGAGCGAGGTCCAGAGGGGAGTCCCAGACGGCCGGGCTGGGCGCCAAAGCGACAGGCTGCCATCGACGGGAGAGCGAGGGGGCGGGGTTAGGGCTAATTCCAGAGGAGCGCGGAGGAAAAGCTTGGAGAGCGGCAAGCGGGGAAGCAGAAGCGCGCGGCGCGTCTGCAGGCGAGGCGTCCCGAGCGGGAACTCAGGGGAAAGGAGCGCGAGGAGGAGGCGAAAGAGGCTGGCAACTTGGCGCGCTTGACCGACGGCAACCGGGCTGGAGAAAGAGGCGCCACCCCTCTCGCAGCTCCTCTCTGGCTGCCTCCAGAAGGAAAAAGTGAGCGGGAAAGGAGCGCGTCGGAAAGGCGGGAAAGCTGAGAGAGCGCGAGCGGGAAGCGTCGCCATGCACTTCGGAGACGGGGCCGGCGGTTCCCCGGCCTGGGGAGCGCCGCCGTCCGCCTGGAACGCGAGCGAGGCGGAGGAACCGGGCGGCAGCGGCGCCAACGGGAGCAGCAGCAACCGCTACGGGCGGGACGAGGAGCTGGCCAAGCTGGAGGTGGCCGTGCTGGCCTTGACGTTCGCCTTGGCGGTGCTGGGCAACTCCTTCGTGCTGCTGGCGCTGCACCGGACCCCTCGCCAGAAGGCGTCGCGCATGCACCTCTTCATCCGCCACCTGAGCCTGGCCGACCTGGCGGTGGCTTTCTTCCAAATCCTGCCGCAGCTGTGCTGGGACGTGACGCACCGCTTCCACGGGCCCGACGGGCTGTGCCGCGTGGTGAAGCACCTGCAGGTCTTCGGCATGTTCGCGTCGGCTTACATGCTGGTGGTGATGACGGCCGACCGCTACATCGCCGTGTGCCACCCGCTCAAGACGCTGCAGCAGCCCAGCAAGCGCTCCCGCTGCATGATCGCGGCCGCCTGGGCGCTCAGCTTCGTCCTCAGCCTGCCGCAGTACTTCATCTTCTCGCTGCGCGAGGTGGAGAGCGGCTCGCAGGTCTACGACTGCTGGGCGCAGTTCGTCATGCCCTGGGGGCCGCGCGCCTACATCACCTGGATCACGGGCAGCATCTTCGTGGCGCCCGTCGTCATCCTGGTCACCTGCTACGGCTTCATCTGCTACCACATCTGGAGCAACGTCCGCGACAAGACCCGACGGCGGCAGAGATGGGAGGCGGCTCCTCCGCGAGGGGGCGCCCTGCGCAAGGGGCTGCTCCACACGCCCTGTGTCAGCAGCATCAAGAACGTCTCCCGCGCCAAGATCCGCACGGTCAAAATGACCTTCGTGATCGTCTCGGCTTACATCGTCTGCTGGGCGCCTTTCTTCACCGTCCAGATGCGCTCCGTCTGGGAAGACCACTCCAACTGGCATGGTAGGTACTACCTGCTGCGCTGAGTCTCTCTCTCTCTCTCTCTCTCTCTCTCTCTCTCTCCGTCCTTGCCCCGGGAGTCTTCCTGCTCTAGTAGGAATTCCAGAGTGACTCCGGATTTCCACTCTGCTAGCGCTGCTGCTGGCTTCTCGGCACACAACCTGTTGCTTTCTCTAAGCGATCAGAGTTGAATTTTGCTTTGGCAGCAAGCCCTGAACCCGTTTCTCAACTTTGCACCCCAAGCCCAAGGCCACATATTTCAATTATTTGGAAGTAAGTGAGTGGCCCAGTCCTGCCTATGTTTCACTGGAGCTCACTCCAGAGCAAGCGGGCAATTTATTTCAGGCATACTTTCTTGGAAAACATGCAATCTAAAGATGCCCGCTTAAGACCGTCTGCTCTCTGAATGGAGTTTACTTCTTAAGGCAGTATGCTTAGAATTGCAACTGAATGTTTAGAACACAGTAATGTTAATCTCCCATGTTAGTTTCAGGCTTACTAAGGAGGAAATGGATTTAGGCTAAACATATCAAATACAGTGGTACCTCGGGTTACATACGCTTCAGGTTACAGACTCCGCTAACCCAGAAATGGTGCTTCAGGTTAAGAACTTTGCTTCAGGATGAGAACAGAAATTGGACTCCGGCGGCGCGGCAGCAGCAGGAGGCCCCATTAGCTAAAGTGGTGCTTCAGGTTAAGAACAGTTTCAGGTTAAGAACGGACCTCCGGAACGAATTAAGTACTTAACCCGAGGTACCACTGTATTTAAAACAGAAAATTCAGCATTGGACTGACGTGGACAAGGGCACTGATTGTCTGCCAGAAAAGTTCTTGCATGAACTCAGCGGCGTAGCGTGGATTCTCAGCACCCGGGGCAAGGCAAGTAATTTGCGCCCCCTAACCCGGGGCAAGGCAAGTAATTTGCGCCCCCTAACCTCTAACCTGCCGCCGCTGCCAGCTTCTTCTTGCTGCTGCCTGGTCTGGTCTGGTGTGGTTCTCTCCCGCGCTCAGCGCTGCGCTGGGCGGCCGCTGCACTGTCCCTCCCCCAGATAGTCCCTCGCTCTCTCTCCGCACCGCACGCCTGGCACCCACCCCCTCCACAGTGGGCGGCGACCCAGCGGCTCGGATCGGATTCGCACAGCCAGCACTGCAGTGAGAGAGAGTGAGTGAGCCAGGTAGGGACAGAGAGCTGCGAGTGCGAGCGCGCCCCCCCCCCAGATGTTGCGCCCGGTGCGGCCGGTCCCCCCTGCACCCCCCACGCTACGCCACTGCATGAACTGAGCTCCTCTGCCTTCTCCTTGCATTTGGGTTATAGATGCTGGTTTGAGTAAAATGCCTATCGACAGTGCAACCCTGCACGTTTGCTTCAGCCCAAGACACAACTGCTGCACAACAATGCCTCCCTCCCTCCCTCCCTCCGTCCCTCACCTAAGCCTTGGTACAAATTTTCATTTGGAAGTGTTTGGTATTCTAGTAACTGATAGGAGAATAATGGGTTGTTGGAAGGAATATAAGCTTTCTGCATTTCAAAGTCAGAATTGCAGTCTATATTTCAGTATCAACAGGTTGAATTTAACTCGCTCACACAATCTCACCCTTTTAAGGGCAGCACAAGTTATATATTTCTACTCAGAAGTAAGTTAATTTGAGCAAACTCTCATGTAAATGGATGTACGATTCAGCCTCTATCTGTATTGATTTGGTAGCCCCTGGTGGTAGTCTATACAAATAGGGGGCATATATACTGAAAGAGCAGCAAAAATACACATTCTCATATAGTAATTGTAAATAAAATTCATAGGTACCTACGATGGGTGTCATTTTAGTAAGCACCCTGAGTCTTTAGGCATGAAACCAAATACATTTATTCTAAAGGCATCTCTGAAGGTCCACCAAAGTAAAATATTACTATTTTTTAAAATCATTCTCTGCAGGTTATGCCCCCCCTCCCCCAAGTCACTATGAGGTAGTTTAGACTTACAGAGAACAATCAGTGTAGTGAGCTTAATGGCTGAGTGATGATTAATTAGATCGTATCATGTGATTATTGAGCTTATTCTATTGGTATGACCTGACATAGCTATAACAATTCATTTACCTGTGTCAAGTCAACTGTTCCACACAGGACTTCTCTATCAATCATAGGCTTGAAGAGGTTCTTTAAAACATTGGTTATGTGATTTGGTCTTCCCTGCCTTTATTTTCTTTCGTGCAGCTGTGAGGAGCTGATGACGGTTTGTCTGCTACATTACAAAAAAAAAAAAAAATGTTTAAAAGAGTCTGAAGTAAACACAAATAACGTCCGGTTCTAGTGGAAAGTACAGAACGTAAAATAATTAGGGGGAAATCTTGCTTGCAATGTAATTTTAAACTCACATAATTATGTAAATAATAATTTGATACGTTCATGATCTCTAAGCCCCGCAGCTTTCTCTTATTTTTTTTTTAAGGTTCTGTGATAGCTAGGGTTGTTTGCGGTTAATTGGTCTGATGAACAACAGACAACACAAGCCAAACTTTACACTTAACTTCACAAGGGACTCAAAATGTATCTGCAGAGTTTTGTTTCCTTTTGCAGAAGCTAAATATCAAAGCATAGCACTAGACAGTTATAATGGATGAATTTGTAATCATACCTCTAGAAGCTATCTGAAAGGTTCTCCTAAGCCATGTTTGCCATAGCATACATATTGAAAAGAATAATACATAAAATTGAAGCCTTATCCATTAGAACCACAATAAGGCAATTAACTTGTCAGATTGTGTGAGACACTCATGACCAAGAAGAGTTTTTTTTTTTAACAAGCTTGCAAAATGTTTATTTTGAAACGTAGAAAAATGAAAACTCAATAACAATATTTTTTTTTAAAAAAAAGAAGAGTATTATTTTTTTTTACCAACCTCATATTTTGATATTCATTTCAGGTTAACAATACATGCAAACCTATACTTACATACACAAATAGCAGTTATGGGAACAATACTTTGCTTTCTGCTCATTGGACATTGCAGTGCCCAGTGAGTCATATTAACCTAGCTTTCCCACATTTCAAAAAGTAAAAAACCAGGACACCCCAAAATTGTTGACCTTTTTTTTGAATGACTTGCCTAAGATGCAGGACAAAGCGACGCCTTTCGGAAATTCCCCTGGACATAAATTCCACCTTTGAAATCCCAGTAATGGCAACCCTAGATTAACCAAAATGTCTATTGATCGGTAATGTGTAAGCACTGGTAAGCACAGCATGTTTAAATCCAGTGACAGGTATGTGTGACAGATAGATAGATGTGTGTGTGTGTTTATGACTGTTAAATCAGATCACCTGAAATTCAAAACATAAAAGAGTACAGATTTCAGATTTCCTTTGGTAATTTTCTTTCCTCACTTCTTGGTTGAGAAGTACCAAGCAGAGCTTTTTTAAAACAACAACAACAACAATAACACCCATAATCTGAAGTCCTTTGATTCAGTCTGTTGCAAACAGTTCAATATGGCTTCTGCCATATGTAATATGGGATCCTGAACAGGCTCAGCTCCATAATTTTATTTTTGTGCAATATCAGGACAATGGGTGAGGGTGATGAGAGGCTGCTGGAGGCAGGGCTTGTCAGAAAACCACTGAAGAAGATTTTCTGAGAGGTTTCCATTGCCTGTGCTAATAAAGGTTGATTTGAAATCACAGGAGGGTCAAGTATCCTACTTGACACCATTTCAACAGAATCAGAGGCAAATGAAATTTTAGTGGCTTCAGGGAGGGAAGCAGCAGCCTGATTATAACGAACAAACCTGCTTCCAGATTAAACGAAGGAAATGTACGCATGCATATCAAATAAGACCACTTGCTGAGTCCTGCTGGCTCCTAAAATAGATCATTGCCCTTTTAAAACGGCAGTTGCTATGTCCGAACACACTTTATATAGCAAAGTACACCGCAAGGTTGATTTTAATTTTAAAACTGTGTTGAGAATTTATACCTCATTTACCTGCAGTGACGCTTAAGGAAACATTTGCATAATCGCAATGTACCAAGACAATACAACAAACAAGAAAAATCCATCCTAAAACCAGATCTTATGAAAACTAATAAATCATAAAAGAAAAGACTTGTCATAAAATTAAAATTGCATCATAGATATGCCCACCCATATTAACATTAAGGAGATCAAGCACTAAAATAAGTTACATTTTTTTAATGTAATGCATCTAGATGGGAGATCAAAGGGGTTGTATTATTTGCATATATCAAGGCTAGCCAACAGAATGACCTGAAGTTGTAGGACTACAGCTCCTATTAGTTCCAGCCAGCATGTCCAAAGGTCAGGGATGGTGGGATATGTAGTCAGAGAACCTCTGCAGGGCATCTCATCAGCTACTCTAGGTGTAAATATTATACTGCTGAATTTCTCCTTAATTTATGGGTTTCTGAATTACTGGATTTTTTAAAATAGGAGCCACACTGATTAAATGCTGGAGTGGGTTTACCAGATATATATTCTGAACTTCTGCTAGTGCATAAAGGCGAACCAAGTTTATAAAAATTTATAAGAAGAAAATGCACCATGAGGAAAAGACATGCAGAAAATCTGTTATCGATATCATGAAATATCTTTTATTTGAAGGCAATTCGGGTTGGGAAGATACAATAGAAGATGGAGTCCTGTGCCCTTAATTGTTGGGTAGAAGAGGAATTTCAGTAGGTAATAGCTTACAGGTAAACCACACCTGCTGAACCCCCCCCCCCCTTCTGCACAGCTATTAAAGGCAGGGGCAGAGGAAGGGGGGGTGTGGCCGCCCCGCTTATTACCACTGGGTGTGTGTGTGACAAAATGCTAGGGGGCACTCACTGTGAGGCCTGCAGCATGCCCAAGTCATGCGTCTCTCCTGGCTTAGGTGCTTGCAGGCTCTGCGCTGCCCAAACGCTCTGCCCGCTGCCTCCCCCCAGCTGTGGGGCGGCTGAGTGGGAGGAGGCAGGCAGACTCCAGAGGCCCCATGGTACGCCCCTATGGGCGGCTTGCCCCATTCCTGGGTGCGCCATCCCAGGTGCCCAAGTGGCTTCCTCTGCCACTGATTAAAGGTGCAGGAGTCTGTTCTCTTTTGCACCTGGCCTTTGTAGGGCAATTGGAGTGGTCTCCATGAAACTTTGGTAAAATAATATCAGAGTGAAACTAGGAGGATATCCCTGTTCTGTTCAAAAATGTTGGGACCCACCAGTTAACTGACTCTGCGCCAAGTCCTTACCAAGTTTATATCTGTGTCACAGTGACAGACACACTCTTTTGGGGACAGGTGCATAACTAGTTGTTTGTAGAAAAAGGCAAAATACGACCCTTGAACAAAATTTCTCTTAATGTTCACAGCCTAAGCCTAGAGATGGCATTACAAGGAATTAATGAGCTGTCCGTTCATTCCACTGAACAGTTGTGCAGAATGTTTGAGGTTGTTTGTACCAGAGTATAACTAAAGCAGAATTGAGTTTACAAGTAGCTGTCTGGATTAAGTAGAGACAGAGAATATACTGTACAAACAAGATTTTAAGAGGCATTTAACAAAGCACCAGAGCCTCTGTTCCAGCAAGTAAGTTTTCAGGCTGGTGTGTAATAATGGTTGTGTTAGTAAAAACATTGCCAACCTGTGGGACCGAACTGGTGTTGAGGGTCAACTGGGAACACCTTACTGGTGAAGCAGGCTGGGTTGCCTCTGCAATATCATGAGCAGCCAGCAGCGTTAGATGTAGTTAACCAGCATCTCACGTTTGCATGAGAGAGAGGAGGGCATTATACTAATACTTTCCTGGCAGGAGAGATACCATGATCACACACCTTCCATTTTGAAGGGGTTGCATTCTAGATAATTTTACATTCCTTTATTTTAAGCATGTCTAATACTTTTTATTGTTATGCAGTGCCTAGTCTGCTTTAGCAAGCTAATCCTGGGACTCGGCTACATTAGTCAAAAAGCAGTGTTTTGAATGCATTATAAAAATGAACACCAGATGGTGCTGGAGAACAAAACAAAATTTATTTAGGATTTTCCATAGTGCTTTTCCCCCTTAAGTTATAACAATTTTATTTTTTACTTATTTATATCAGTTTCCCCCCCTGTGTGTAGATCCACCCCTGTATTTAAATTGCATTGATGGCAAACTGCCTTGTACATTTTTAATTGTAGGGCTGTGTGTGTGTGTTTATATGTTCTATAATCAGGAAAAAAATCCTTTTAACAATAGGAGCTTGTGAAAGGTAACAACAAGAGCATTCTTGTTGTTTAATATTATTTATATAACTCCCTAAATTACACAAACTTCACAGTGTCTCAAAAGACACTGTCTTTTGAGGCATCATGCATGTAAAAAATTAATTATATTTGTAAGAATAATTATTACAATAAATCAGAGCAGCCTAATCCTATAGTATCTATGCAGGATATATATTATGAAACAGAATAAATGCATAAACAAGGAGCTACAGTTGAGGAACATAATGTGGATTCATCTGCTATGGTGAGCATCTTCATATCCAGTCTTACTTAGTGATTTTCTCTGTTAATGAAATGGTTAACCACTGAATCAACTAGTCTTGGTATGGTGTATGAAATATGAAATGGAAGTTTTCTGTTTCATTTGAAGGAATAAAAGAAGGCAATGCATCGGCCTTGTGTCATTATCTACATATAAAAATATTAATCTTTTAAAAAAAAATAATCACAGAAGCAATGGGTTAATGGCACAGATATTTGCTAAGTAATTTTCTGCTTTGTATTGACAGAGTCAGAGGACATTTTAATTACTGTCACTGCCCTTTTGGCCTGCTTGAACAGTTGCTGCAACCCATGGATCTACATGTTCTTTAGTGGGCACCTCCTGCACGACTTCATACGGAGCCTCCTGTGCTGTCAGAAAACTGGGCAGAGGCTGAATAAAGAAGATTCTGAGAGCATCAGCAGAAGACATACTACTTTCACCAACAACAGAAGCCCAACAAACAGTTTGGACATGTGCAGAAAATCTCCAGATTTAGCACAGTCCATTAGGTCCATCCCCATTACATCCTGAAGCGTATATTTAAAAACTGGCGTCCCATTGAGTTCCAGAACAGCACTTTTAGCACTTTAGCCATTCGTTACCACGTGACCCATGAACTAACAAGATGAGAGTAACTTTTTTGGGAAAAAACACAACCCAAATATGATGGTTTTGCATCAATGTAAATAAAGTTTGTAAATCAATCTATTAAAAAGTATAGGAATATATATGTTCAATGAAAAAGAAGGGAAACAGTAATGCGTGTAAATATTTTTCTACAAAGCTACAGTATTAACTTCACATTTGTTTGTTCTCAGACTCAATTACGTATAAATTAAATGCAGTGTGACTGTAAATGCAGTTGGTACTTCAAAACAGTCAAAATAATTGCCCAGATCCTCGGCTGGAATGCAGTCCTGGGCACTGTTTACATGTAGCTCTCAGAGAAATAAGTGAGCCTGACACATGTAACCTGAGCACAGGGCTGCAATGTTGGTGCATTAGGTATAGCTTCATGGTTGGTGCCGTTGAATGGTAGCATTTGCAAAACAATGCAAGTGAAGTCCTGAACTGGAAATCTGTAGATGAAATTAATAGTTCTTGGTTGAGGAACATCCTGATACTATACCAGTGTAGCCCCACAAAATTAAGGACATTTGACTAAGTGTAGACTAAATCTATGGCTGCCTTTTTACCCAAATCCTGTGGGAAACTGAGATCTAAGTGAATTGGAATTTTCTAGATGATACAATAGGATTCACATGGAATTTCCAGCTAATACACACTTTCTCATTTAGTGAAGTGTCAGGGGAAACACTTTGTAGTGGTGAGAGGGGGAAAGAGTGGTAATATAGGGTGTGTACTGGGAAACGGTTGCATGTATTGCATCCACTGTGAGCATCAGAATTCCTTCTCTTTGAAGAAGCCTATAGGCGCTCTCTCTCTCTCTCTCTCTCTCTCTCTCTCTGTGTGTGTGTGTGTGTGTGTGTGTAGGATTCAATCCTTGCTTATAATGGGCTTTGGAAATGTTCTTAAAGAACTCAAAATGGGAACAGGGTCCACAAAAGAATGGTAATATCTTCCTCAAAAAGTTTCAAGTCAACATTGCTAATGCTGATTTGCTTCTTGCACCCCTGAACAGACTATACACAGATAGTCCATTCAGAGGGCCTGATAAAAGGCAGGATCATGTGGTTGGCTTGAAGGCACTCATAAGATGGCGGTGCCCTCTGATCTCTTTCTAGATTTTAGTGTGGAACACAGTTTTATTTAGGAAAGCAGCTGAAGCCTGGATGATTGAATTAATATCAGGTGGGGCTGTTCAACTAAGATTGACTCTGGGTAGATGTGTTGAAATCAATAGACTTAGTCACATTCATTCATTTCAGTGGCTCTGTTCTGGTTTAGTTGAATGCCATCCTTGGATTTCATAATGATCCTGTAGAAAATGACCATAATCCACCCAGTGTACCATATGTCACAAGCCATCTTTATATCAAGTGATTTTTGTTAATTTGTTGTTTATTGGTTCTCGCCACATCTTCTGCTTGTAAGAGCAGAAAAACAATATGCCCTGCCTTTGCGACAAAATCACTCTGCTGGCTTATATTTAGTTAGTGGATCACAAAACAAACCCCAGGCTTTTCTCAGCAATACCACTGCCTATGTAATTATCTCACTGTGCATTTCTTTTCATTTAATTTTATTATCTATGGTAGCACCATATGTTGTCTTACCCAAAATTGCTTCTTGTTGGTTTCAAAACATAATATCTCAGCAATGACTTTGTACAAATTTCCAACCATGCACCATTCTAAGAATGCTTGCTCTGTGGCACAAGGTTGAAAATAATTTACAGAAAGAAAAAAATAAAATGAAGTTTTCAAGGAACGGTGCAGGATTAAAAGTCTAACTCTCTGACTTTGGTATTTTCTCACATTACTAAACTGCTGTGGAATGTAGTCGAGCTGCGTCATTTTTCTAGTGTTATACGTGAACACTCAAATGAAAAGGATGTTTTCATTTTATTTCTGTTTCCCTGTCCTGACTTGGAGCATATCAGATTATCACCCTAGCAGAGACTCTCCTACTATGAATTATAGACATATATGCAACAATCAGCAATGCTTTTTCTCTCTTCTAGCTTGATTGAGTTGTTAAAACTTTGTTTGGCCTTAATGTACAGCTTGTTAAACCTTGTTTGCCCTTAATGTACAGCTTGTGACATCCATGATTGTGTCTTGCTACTTCTGTTGTCCTTTTGCATTGCTTGTAATTTCTTTGAAATAACTAACCAGAGGGGGTTAGTGGGTTTTTTTTTTAAAGGTACCTCTGGGACATATATATTAAATTGCCTATGTCCCAGATATGGGTGTATTCCAGGATCTTCATTTAATTTGGTTTTTAGAGTATTCCTTCTATATTCACAGGTTCCATCTATATCTAATCGTATCTATCATCTATCTATCATCATCATAATCTATCTACCTATCATCTATCTATCTATCTATCTATCTAATCATCTATCTATTCATATATTGCTTCAAGGAATTACTACTATGACCTCAGCATTTGGATTTATAGGTTTTTTTTCTGACTGAATGTCATATTGCCATGTAAAACAAATGGGAGTTAAAATGTAGGAAGAAAGAGGGGAGTTTCCATTTTCAGAAGAGTCAGTAATACAATTCGATATCATTGTGGGCTGCAAGGATGTGATGCAACAGCAAGGAAGGCTGTTTAAAGTAGCCATGAGTGGTATGCAGCAAAATAGCTCCACTAGCACAGAGACTGCGGTGGGACTTCCGTTTCCTCTCCTCTCCCCATGTATCCCCATACACCCCCTAAATCTGTTCTGGGAATCCTTTCAGGATTTAAATCCTTCCAAGGCAACTTGCAAGTAACATTGAAATACATTAAGAAAATTACAGTACTATAAACAATATAAAAACAGAACAAGTTATCAGTTGGTGGTATATGGCCCTGTCAGTGTGTGTGTGTGTGAGCGCGCGCGTGAAAGCCCCAGCTGGAACAGGCGCTGAGGTATTTTCACAGGGTGGTTGTGGGAGAGGTTTCTGTTCTTTCTATCCTGTCTTTTCTTTAATTGTATGACAATCAGCTCTGCTACCTCAGCGAAGGAGCTGTCTTAGGCACTTGCTTTTCCCATCCTCTGAATCCATCATTCCAAAAGGTAGGAGGGACGCATTGCATTCTGGGACAAAAAGGGTGTCTGCCACAAACAATGGCACCCCCCTCCAAAATGCCCTGAAATGATACAGCATTCTGTAGGTGAAAAATGGCAACTCCTAGCTGTTGATCTCTTAAGAGTAGTTATGCCTTGTTCTATTGGCGGAAGGAAGGAGGAAAAGGAGGAAGATCCATTGTGCAATGCCCCCTAAAATTTTAGAATAATTTTGACCCTAGTTTCAGGGAGACCTGAATTTCACAACACACCTCACTATATTTGAACTGAAACTACTCATTATTTTTAGAAGAAAGGGTGTTCAGATTTATGGCAGCTATCATCCTTTTCCCAGCAGTCGTCAACCTGCCAAACAACTGAGGAGACTGGCAATGTGAAAGCATCTGAGGATTCAAGAGGCACTTAGACAATCATCTTTGTTGTTGTGGACTGGCTTCACATGCACAGTTATGCACACTTTTTTTAAAAAAAAAGAAAACCAGAGACTAATTATTTGTCTCTCAGAAGCTTTTTCTGGCTGGAGAGAGTGGTTTTTATTTTAAAAGGGGGGGTTGCTCTTTGAATAAATGAATAAAACCCCTGAAAAGTATTGTGCTGGAGAGACTGTGCTTGAGGTGATATGAGGTGATAAGTCTGTGGTGAAAGTTCTTTGTTGGCTGTTTTGCAAACACAACTTGTCACTTAAAAATGTGGCCACTGATTTCTGAACGTGATTTGCTGGTTTTACATTTTTTATTTTATGCAGCTGGAAATGTGTATGCTGTGGCTTATATTATTCACTAAACAGATGAAATTATATTATTCACTAAACAGATGAAATTTTGATTTACTGTATCGTCTTGGATTCAGAAGAGATAGCACATCATTTAGTCAGCCTAATCCTAAAGGAAGGCTTTAAGTCACATTTACGAAACGCATCTCTTAGTACCTCTTTACTGAAAATAATCAAAACAATTCTGCAGCATTTTAACATATAATTTTATAGTGCTGCAATATATTTTTATGTGTATTCCTAATATTTCATCCCTGTCAGCATTTATGTCAATTCAATCCATTACTGCTTTTCCTATCTTCTACTGAAAATCTGTGTGAGGAGGGCTGAGGCTGGAGGTGGAGAGTTTTGCCTTTCTGTGGAGAAAATAATGCTATGACTTTGGTGTCCTCCCTGGAAACCTGATGAGGCAGCAAGATCTGCTACAGATCTTCCATCTTACACTTAGGCTGTATATATGTGTAAATAAAACAGCATATCCTAAGACTCCTTTGACCTTTATCCCTGATTGGTGTGTGCTCATCAGTAATGTACAATATTTATCTTTTAAACACATGTAGTTCTCTTAGTCTTTCATCATATTGGCTGCCTTTAGAGCAATGTTTCTTAAATTGGGAGAAAATATAGAATCCCAGGAAGGCAGCAAACTGTTTTTCAGTGGAGGTTCAACACTAACCAAATTGTAGGTTTCCCCTAGGCCTAGGATCACCAAAAAGAGTCAGGGGACTTGTGTGACCTGCTTGCTGCTGGTCCAATCACTTCATGAGGTAATAGGTCACCTTTTTCTAACCTGGTGTCTCCTCAGTATATTTCGACCATCATCAGCCCCACAGATGTGCCACAGTTGTGGTCCCAAACATCTGGAGGGCACCAGACTGAGGAAGGCAGCAAACAGCTCGCGCTGGATTATTTGGCTAACTAAATGGCTTTGAATGCTCTTCCACTTAAAGTCCTCTCACAAAACGAAGAAGTAAAATGTGAAGATGGGGAAGGGGAGACCTAACTTTTCTTTACAACCCACAGCTGGTGCTTCTTTTCAGAAGCAGCAGTTCTTATCTCAGCAATCCTGAGAATGACAAGTGACTTCAAAAAATGCCTCAGTGAAGACCTTGCAAATAAAACAAAGCCAGAACATAATTTCCGGCAGAGTATTTCTGGTATTTATCTACTGCTCTCTGTTCTTTTATCTGTTTTTTTATGTTCTTGTTCCTAATTTTTTTAAACATCATTTCAATGCTAGCATCATCATCATTTCAATGCTACCATCCTCAAGTGGAGAGGAAAACCTCATATTTGCTGAAATAAATAAATGTTGCTGACAGATTGCTTGTGTGCTGTTTGCTGTTTCCTCAGGCAGGTACCGCCAGTCTTTGCCGCAGAGTGGTGCCTTGTTCAAATGCAATGCGCTAATAGCTCTGTATCCAGCATATTATTTTTCTGCAGTGTTTCAACTTTCTCTTTCTGTGTTTCGATCCTGGCAAGCAGCAACTAGTCTAGTTCAGCAGCTAGCAAAACAAATGAGAGCTGCAAGCTGTGTATCTGCTCTTTCCTGCTTTAGGGTGAAGATGTCAGAATCTGACAAGATCGAATTCTATAATTCTATCACATCTGTCCCAGTGAGAAGATGGGAGAGCATCTTCTCATTGGGTAGACTACATTTACAGCATTCCCCCAATCCACCAAGCCTGTAGCACTATTAGAAAAAGAAAGAAATGAGATTCATCTTGCCTGACTTCTTTTTGAGAAACGCATGCTGGGTCTTAATAGTGCTTCGTTTCCAATGAATGCGCAGCCCATAACTTTCTGCTGAAATCCTAAACCTTTTTCATACCACAAATGTTCTGGGATTTTTGTCCCACTTTTGTGGCACTGTAGGCCCTCCAGGCAGCAATAATGTTGTAGCACTGGCGAAGCCTCACAGAACTAATAAAGCAGCACACATCCACCACTAATGCACTGTTATTGTGTCAAGAACATTTTGCAGAATACTTTCACAATAAAACACCAGCCTGGAAGGGGCCCTGGTCAGCTCCTTCAGTGCCCCCTCCTGGAATGGAGGGGGGAGAGAGAGAGACCTCTTCTCTACGGCTGCTTCAATCGTTGGAGGTGAAAGGGTTTAATGCCACCCAACTCCTCTTATGGCCCTGCCCTGCCCCTTCTGCTCACGGAGGAGAATATGGACTCATTTATATGTGTTGCATTTGCGATATAACACTGTGCCACCAGATGGCATTGTGGAGTCCCGTTTTTCCCTACCGGATTTCCCTGTTTACATTTACAACACATTTAGTTGGAACGCTTCTTTGATGTTTCTAGATCCAGCTTTGGAGCCATTTCATCCTTGGCCGTTCCTCAATACTGTGGTAAGCCTCTGGCTTTTAAGAGCTAAGAATTTGGCTGCATCCCTGGTGCCTCAGAAGCCAGAGTGTGGCCTCCACTTGCTGCCACATCAACAGGTACACCACAAACCCCCCTCAGCCCTCTCAGCTGCTGCCTCGGTTTCTCTGCCTTGTTTGCCCACCAACAAAGACTGTGCCAATGTTCCTGCTCCCTGTGATCTGTGGGAGTAGGAGCCAGATGCCTATATATCATGTTTGATGGTTCCTCACAGTGATACTTTAAATTATAAGTGATTACTTCATGGACCTTTTTAAAGTGTCTATAGTCTTTTGCACTCATTTGTCACAAACCCTTTGTGAGATATATTGCCTCTGCCAAATCTGGCTTTGATAATATGTGACGTCTCATTACGTGACATGGCATTTCACTTATCCATTACTTGACAGATGAGCTCTTTTCTAAACCTTTTACCACACCAGAGCAATGGAATTAATCTCGGCACTGCAGCTTTCTCCTCAGGGTTCCCGGGCATTTCACAACACCTCATGCTCAGAAGCAGCGGTTCTCACATCATAACGTCAGCTCGCTCGTTTAATTGACTCTCATTATGGAGATATTTATGATTTAGTTAGTAGAAACATTTATATCCGGCCTTTCCACTCGAGTCAGATCCATAAGGTGGCTTTACAGCACTCTGAAAACAATACAATAAAGAAAATCATAAAACACTAGAGCATAAAAAAGAGCAGTAAAAATAAAAAAGCACAGCAACGGCAGAAGGACAATAGAGACAACCAAACTACTGAAACTAATCACCCTCTGAAATAACAGGGTGCAACCCTTTGCTTGAGGTACGTTGGCTGAGTGGTCTTAGGAAGCTGTTTAAGTGCTATTCCATCTACGGAAAAGAGAGTTAAACCAGGTCTTGCGAAACAGACCCACTTCTTGAAAAGATCAGACCTTTTGTGATAAGAAAAGTGATGAGAAAATGCACCAGAAAATGTGTGGTAACACTTACCGTATTTTTCCGTGTATAAGACTAGGTTTTTCTCCTAAAAATAATGTCAAAAATTAGGGGGTGTCTTATACTCTGGGCCATCTCCCCCCATTTTCTTAAATCTGAGCCTCCAAAAATACATGGGGGCGTCTTATAGATGGAAAAATACGCAACGTCATATTCCACGCAGACAAATCATAATGAATTCTCATTAAATAGCCAATGCTGTCTAACCTCCATGCAAACAAATTAGGATGAATGTTCAACAAAGAGGTTAGAAGCACTCCTTCTGTCATGGGTGTGAAGCCATTTTGACATATAAGTGGCATGGAAGAAGAAGAAGAAGAGGAAGAAGAAGAGGAAGAGGAAGGGAGTGTTCTTCCCAAGTTCCATCTTTATCTACTAATGAAGCTCACTAGCCTTTAGATTCAAAGTAGTTATCCCTTTTCCTAAAGGCAGTCCCAAAAATAATCTCAATACTTCACATTCTTTCCAGTTAACATGTAATATGGGATCATCTTCAAATCCCAGCTCAGATGTTACCTGATTTTAATTTTATATATAAATTGGCACAAGTTTTAACTATGTACGTTATCGCATAACCCAAAGGTACTTTGTGGTTCTCCATAGCCTAATCAGGGACGCGGGTGGCGCTGTGGGTTAAACCACAGAGCCTAGGACTTGCCGATCAGAAGGTCGGCGGTTCGAATCCCCGCGATGGGGTGAGCTCCCGTTGCTCAGTCCCTGCTCCTGCCAACCTAGCAGTTTGAAAGCACGTCAAAGTGCAAGTAGATAAATAGGTACCGCTCCGGCGGGAAGGTAAACGGCATTTCCGTGCGCTGCTCTGGTTCGCCAGAAGCGGCTTAGTCATGCTGGCCACATGACCGGGAATCTGTACGCCGGCTCCCTCAGCCAATAAAGCAAGATGAGCACCGCAACCCCAGAGTCGGTCACGACTGGACCTAAGTGTCAGAGGTCCCTTTACCTTTACCTTTATAGCCTAATCATACAGAAATAGCTTACTAAAACTTATTTTTCTTGTTTGCAATGTCATCTGCAGTTACAAGAAAAAGCGTCCCACATCAGTTAGGCAAAACTATAATGGTCTCTTGGAGTATAAGATGTTAGCTGAAAAGTTGAGAGCTTATGGATGATGATGCACGAGACAAATCCTGTTGGATTAAATAAAGTAAAAAATACAGAGTACTGTACATAAGAGAGCATCTTGTATTTTTAGAACACACAGAATACCTCAAGGTGTTTGCTATCGAGCCTTTTGAAAACCAGTGAAAGGCAACACCTTACCTGTATGGTATTTTGTGTATTTTTTTTCTTTTCCTTTTTTCTTTTCTTTCATTACAAATGTACTTATGACATACAGCTTACATAAACATCTCTCCCTCCCCTCTTTTGGACTTCCCTCAACTTCCATTTCTGATTTATTAACCTCATTAGTATATTCTGCTGTTTTCTACAAATATCATATTTTCCCTTTTATTACAATATCTATTCCCTATCCCAAAAGTTGTGAGTGTTTATTTAAATCCTACCATCAGGTCAGTATTCTTTCTTTGTTTCTGCAAATATAATATAAAAGGTTCCCACTCTTTTTCAAAATCCCTATTGTCATTTTCCCGAAGTCTGTGTGTCAGCTTCGCCATCTCCGCATAGCTCATCAGTTTTTCTTTGGTATTTTGTATTTCTAACACACCTCTTAGGGACGTGGGTGGCACTGTGGGTAAAACCTCAGTGCCTAGGACTTGCTGATCGTAAGGTCGGCAGTTCGAATCCCCGCGGCAGGGTGAGCTCCCGTCGTTCGGTCCCAGCTCCTGCCCACCTAGCAGTTGGAAAGCACCCCTAAGTGCAAGTAGATAAATAGGTACCGCTTTATAGCGGGAAGGTAAACGGTGTTTCCGTGTGCGGCACTGTTGCTGGCTCGCCAGTTGCAGCTTTGTTACGCTGGCCACGTGACCCGGAAGTGTCTTTGGACAGCGCCGGCTCCCGGCCTCTTGAGCGAGATGAGCGTGCAACCCTAGAGTCGGTCACAACTGGCCCGTATGAGCAGGGGTACCTTTACCTTTTTAACACACCTCTTAAGACTGTGCAGAGATGTTCCACAATGATAACTTTAGTGTGGTGCAAATTTGCATTATCTTAAGAACTTTATTAGTGATACTAATCCTGAAGTGGCCGCAAATTTTCTTTATCCACTGGTGCAAAAATGTGGATGGCAGCAAACTGGAAGAAAACTGGTGTTAATGATTTTTTGCGTATGGGAGGATATGGAACACTGAAAGCTTATCTGAATTAAATATATAAACAGTGTGTGTGTGTGTGTGTGTGTGTACACACACACACCACACACACACACACACACACACACACGTTTACTTGCAGCATATGGTTTTTAAGTGGTTACAGAAGGCTGATTAATGAACAACATATAATTGTGTTTGTTGTGTTTTATTTGCAGCATTTCAGAGCAGTAAATGGACAATATCTCTCTTTTCTTTGATTTAATGTTTTCTCTCTCCCTCCCTTTCCTTTTCCCTGTCCCCCCCCCCCCGGGATTTAGCAGTGCATTAGCTTCTTCTGCATTTGACTCTGTCTGTGTAGGTGTTTCTATGAGTGTACATACCATGTAGATGATATTGTTACAGTGGTACCTCGGGTTACATATGCTTCAGGTTACATACGCTTCAGGTTACAGACTCTGCTAACCCAGAAATATTACCTCAGGTTAAGAACTTTGCTTCAGGATGAGAACAGAAATCGTGCTCCGATGGCACGGGGGCAACAGCAGGAGGCCCCATTAGCTAAAGTGGTGCTTCAGGTTAAGAACAGTTTCAGGTTAAGAACGGACCTCCGGAATGAATTAAGTACTTAACTCGAGGTACCGCTGTATTATTATTATTATTGGTGGATCAATGTCGGATGTTATTTCTAAAAAAGAAGAAGAAAAAGAACCCAAACCAGTAAATAAACAAATAACACGCTTGAATACACACCGGCCTGTCACTTTGTAAAAACAGTACTTATTCTAATTCTTAAAGTTCAACATGGAATAGATTGAAATCCCAAGAGGAATAAGCTCTGGAACTATCCTGCGGAGGGCTCAATCAGAAGCAGCGATTCCTGAGTTACAATGTGCAGGGTCCTGCAGGTAGCAATTAATTAGTCAAGCAGTAACAGTATAAGCACACACCAGGGCTGTGGTGTTCTCCTTTTACTGTGGAAGTATCTGTTCCTCTTCTGAACTTAATGATGTTTAATAAGCTATAATAAACTGTGAGTTAAAACTAGTATAGAATTAATGGCCCATCTTGCTCACCTTTGCTGTCTGAACCGTTGTCAGGCGCAAGGCGACATGTAACTAGGAAAAACCCTACAACCTCTTGAGTTTGGTGCATATGCATACAGTGTTTGTACAGTAACGTAAACATAGGCTGTGCAGTGCTTATCGCAAAGTGTTTTCTCGATAAAGTGCTTAATAAAACAAAAAACCAGAAGGTCTGTATGCTATGGATAATGAAGGAGGGAGTCGTAATCATCATATGTGAACCATCTCTGTTTACCACTAAAATATCCACACGTTTGAAGACAAAAACCTGATCCAGTGGGCTTGCATGCCTATAAAATCTCAAGCAGAATTTTACTCACTGTGTTTGTGAAAAGTGGGGTTTTTAATAGCACTGCTTTGAGCCGCAGGCATGATAAAGCGCAGATGTCCCAGGACAACTTTTAAAATCACTTATTCCATAAACACCAATTTAAACAGTTGGATAAGGAAAGGTTTTTTTAAAAAACTAGCAGGCACGGATCGTAAACAAATGTCTCCGTAATGAAAGTGTGTATGACTATCGAGCTCGTCCTATAAAAAGAAAGGGACGCAGTGTACATTTTCAAAACTTTCACAAGGGAGAAATCTTGCTAACAATACTCATGGGACGTGCCTGGACATGGGAAGTTTTATACCATATTAAAAAGAGAGAAAGAGAGAGGGAGAATATAGTTAGAAACATCTTTTATAAAGATTTTAAAACACACAGCAATCACCAAGCATCACCTTATATAAGCAAAACCATATTCATGATTTTAGAGAGCGGAAGGGAAGCATTTCTAGTCAACCACATTGATTTCAGCATGTCGGGAGTTAAATCCTGGCACTCTTCCTCAGCAACAGGATGGGAATCAATGTGATTCCCACAGGGGAAAAAGAAAGGAAATAAGGGGACAGAGGTATCTGAGTAGCATTTGACTCAGCTGAATTAGGGTTGCCATATTTCAAAAAGTAAAATTCCTAACACCAGCAAGGTTGAGCTTCTTTTTAGGAAACCCACCCAAATTGTTAAGCTTTTTTGTGGGAAACCTAACCCCAAAATTGTGGTTTTTAAGTTTTTGAGCTGTTTCCAGTGCTTTTTCCATTGTGTTGCCATGCACCCAGGTTTCCCTTGACATTCTGCCAACTTGGCAAAATTCCCCCCGACGCCATTTTTACACCTGAAAAACAGGACATGTCAGGAATTTCCCTGACGTATGGCATGCCTAAGCTGCCTGCACATTACACATGTAGACAGAACTTGCAGTGATCCATGTGTCTTATACCCAACTCCCTCCAAATATTCCCAATTTGCCTTGGCCCACAGCTAAACCCAGTACAGTGGTACCTCAGGTTAAGTACTTAATTCGTTCTGGAGGTCTGTTCTTAACCTGAAACTGTTCTTAACCTGAAGCACCACTTTAGCTAATGGGGCCTCCTGCTGCTGCCACGCCACCAGAGCACAATTTCTGTTCTCATCCTGAAACAAAGTTCTTAACCTGAAGCACTATTTCTGGGTTAGCGGAGTCTGTAACCTGAAGCGCATGTAACCCGAGGTACCACTGTACTCAGTCCTAGATTTTACAATGCTTAAATTATTATAATTCAAATTCAAATATCTTTAATACGGTCAATGACCAGATCGAACTAAGATTATGTCCCTGTAACAGCAACGAAATTGAAACCATCGGGCATGTCATCTTATATTGCCCATTATATCGAGACTCAAGAAAAGAGCTGATCGAGCCGATTCTGAGGAAAATACCGTGTAGTACAGACGACACCTATATCAGACACCTCTTAGCTGACAAAGACCCCGAAATCAACAGGCCTGTGGCGAAGTACTGTTACATTGCAACAAGAATAAGACGAGCAATGATGACAGCAACGGAGTTCAAATTGCAAACATCGAAGGAACGATAATAAACAGTAGTGACATTTGAACTGAATCCTTAAAACCTTAAAAGTCGAAACCTGGTCATAAACATAAGTACCAATTTTGTGATTTGGCCATATCTCCACTGTTATCTGTAGTATTATAATAATTATTATCATCATTATTATTTTATTTATTGATGTGTTTGTCGCCCTCAGCTCTTTTGGGAGCAAGGGCAGGATACAAACTGAATGATTTTATGAATGTAGGGCCGAGTCCAGGTCACAGAAGCTCCAACATAGTTTTGCTCATGTCAAGTAATAAGGCCACTATTACTTGAAAATGTCAAAACTCAAAGTAGCTGCAGCCCCCATGGCTGGTATTTCTCTCTCTCTCTCATTTATGGGATTAGCTGTTTATTGAATGCAAGACCTTCAATTTATCACTTGATCAGCTTTCCCTTCCTCAGCTTTCTGCCTTGGTACTGTATATTCGTCGTAAAACAGCAACATTGCCTTATGCAGAGCCTCTTTTTGCAGACATGCTCCAGAGATGCCGGACAATTTCAGCCTGGCTTTGTGCCCACCCTGCATTCACATGGGATGCTAAACAAGATGAGCAGCTGGTCAAATGGTAAGTTTTGTTTGGACATCTATATTAATGATAATATGGTGCTATACTTTCTGCCGTAAATTCTAAGGGTGTGGTTAAGTTTTGGGGGTGGAGCTTATCAAGTGGTGATGCTTTCCTGCACTTATGTTATGTACTGAGTTGAATAGGATCCAAATGCAGCAGTCTGATTGGTCCTAGAACAATAGGATCCAAAATGCAGCAGTCTGATTGGTCTTAGAACAATGCAGCAGTATGATTGGTCCGCAGGAGCCACCCAATCCAGCTCCAGGTAGAAGTGAATCCGCAACCTGATTGGCCTACAGGAGAATCCAGGAATTAGCCAATCACGTGCTAATAATGTATATAAAGCAGATATTTTGGGGAAACTTTCATTCCTCACTACTATGAGCTGAATACGGAGCATGAAATCCACTCTCGACTCCGAGTATATTTCAACTTACTACTTGCTAAAATGGCCATCATCTGTATTCATAATTTGTGATGCGTGGCTGCATACACACCATACATTTAAAGCCCAACCCCTCTACAAAATAATAATAATATGGGAACTGTTGTTTACTCCTCACAGAGCTGTAACTCCTAGCACCCACTACAGTTCCCTGGATTCTTTGTGAGAGTTGCTTTAAATTGATCAATGTGTACACAGCCAAGTAGCAGAGAAGGCACTGCCTTGAGCAATAGAGGCTCGTGGTTAGAGTTGCGTTTCCGAAACATGGGAAGCCACAGTATTCAGAGTCTGAATCTAGCTAAATATTCTCCACACTGATTGGTAGCAGCTCTCAAGGGTCCCAGGCAAAAGCCTTTAGCTGGGTACCAGCAGGAAGCCAGAATTCAGACCTTGGAAATGTGTGCATAATTGTACACACATCGAAATTGTGACCATGCACATACAAAACATGTGTGGATAATTTATAACAACACACACACTATGTGGCTTCAAGGGCTTAAAAGCAATGCAGTAGGGGATTTCAAATGTATAAAAGAAAGGCAAGGGTTTGGGGGTTTTTTAAAGCCAGAAATTTTCCTAAGGGAACAACTCCAAAAAGAAGGGTAAATGTTTTCATAACCTCTTGCAACAGCACCATTATAAGTACATATAATATTTTAAGAAAGTGAGAGTGTAGTAACTGTCTACTTCCCTAGATAAGGAATGCTTGAACCTGTCAATTTCATATTCTGTCAGTTTCTCATTTTTTTCCCCAATCGTAGCATCAGTTCTCCACATTTCTGCATAAGCTTGTGATTTATTTCTTTTTCAAATAAAAGTTCTCATGAAAATTCACTATCTTTTGGGCGCATTCTCCCTCCCCCCAATATACACATTGTTGTATGAAAACTTGCCTAATATACACATTACTGCAAATCGTGTTGCCACCAACAGTTGTACCCCTTCTACTACAGAAGGCATTTTTTCAGGTTATTTTCACCAGTATTTGTGCACTTCATAAATGCACATGCCTTTTTGTACACATTATTTAGCTGGGGGAACTGCATTCCAAAATCTGTGGAAATGTGAATGCCAAAGGATGGCTGAGCTTTGGTTTGCATCAGAAAGTGC